AAGCAATAACGTTGGCATTGGGAAAAACAACATTGTAATGATTCCAAATCTTTAACATAATTTAATGGCTGATATTGTCAATGAAAATATTTTTGAAATATCACGAGCCAGTCACAGGCTTCATTACAAACAAAAACATTCCATTCACAGAATACTGGATATTATGCATGCATTACCAGACAAAAACAGTCCTCGTACCATATGAATGTACCAGTTGGAACTGTGGCGAACTGTATATATAGATGGACAGTGCTTATTGAAGGTGATCGGTAATGGTCCGTAGACTTTTACCGAGCAGATTTGTTTTTGCCAAAAGAAAAATTAGGTGGGGGTATGTCATCTCGTCCCCAGATGATTTATTTGACAGGAAGCGAGATCATATCGCGTATGTATGATTTATAATGCTTTTAGTTTAATCATGAGGTAAAATGTAATAGTTATACGAGGGACAATATGTTAAGATACTAGGCTCTGTATATTTGATAATAATGTGGCTACGTATATTTCATAACAATGTTGCAATGGCCTACCTCATTAGTGCCATCAAAACGATTATTATCATCCTCATCACCATCACCAATAGCGTTTTGTAATACCATTGACGTTACTAAGATTAAAAAAAACTACACGAGAGCAGAAAAATTGATAGATAATAACTGAATGTAGTCATTTCTATTCTTCTGTCAGACATGGTTTTCAGAGTCCACAAGTTAGAGAAGTGATATGGACCTATTGCGGCTCTTTATCAGTGCATACAATATGTATGTACTCTATATATAGGCCTATATCAGTAAGTACAGAAACAATAACGAGGGTTTTTTTTCTTCTTTTTTATATGCCAGACGAGGCACAGTTAGCAGCCTTGAATGAATCTGCCATACGATATCATGTCCTTCGATTATGTTCATTAACCGGACAAAGATAAAAAAAACTAAGACTTATCTTTTAAAAAATAACCACGTGTTTGAAAATGTAAATAAGCTAAAGCGTTTTAGAAAAAAAGTCTAACATTTATTGGCGTATGACAAGGGCAATTTATGATTTCAAGCACGTCCTTGATTCGCGCCATTTTACTTGGAGAATTTCGGGACTTGACTTTGGCTTCGGTTTCTTTTAGGATATATATTTACGTAAAGTTTGGTGAAGTTTTAATTGTCGATGGAAGATATAATTGTCATCCTAAAAATCAACTTCATTTGGCAGATACTGTTTTGTTTGTAGTTATTTATCTTATTCTCGGTTATTCTTTCCCGACCGGAAGAGGTGAGTTGTGTGGTCGCGTGGACAACCTCGACAGCGTGGAAGTGGTGAGACGGAAATATATTTGCCTGTTTGAATCATATTATTATTGTTATTATCATTACGTAGTTAGTTTGTGCGTACCTACGGGAGTATATTTATACATGTGTTTCCGGGGACACACGCATGAACACGAACACATGCAAGCTCTCCATCTACACACACACACACACACATATATATATATATATATATATATATATTTTGTGTGTGTGTGTATTTGAATATAGCCTAAGCAGCATAAGTAATATGATCAAAGTTATGTCAGTATGATAACTTAATGTAGCATTGTAAATTAGCTTTCCGTGAAACCCTTTCACCGTTCAGATGATATTAATTAACGCTTCTTTATGCAATAGTTACGTCAGGAACAATCACTCCTCTGTGACATGACATCACCAACTTTAATAGTTAATACATACTGTACAATGAGAGCGTCAGGCGTGTCTGTCTTGCTGCAAGTGCCTCGAACAGGTATGCACAGGAACTGGCTCTGAGAAATACCAGCTGCAGCGCAATAGAATCATTTTATCATTATCCATTGTTGTGTAGGGCATTAGCATCGACCGTAATAAGTGGGTACGAAAACGAGGACAATTAAATTTATCATTCGCGATGGAAGAGATGTATATATAACCTTATTAAGTCGTTCCACTTACTGCACGTGTCATTGTCAAGATATGATTTGACAGGCGATTGAAGGGGATCCAAAGAAAGCTGTGGTTTCTATTATGTCTCCTTCCCTGCGCCTCTTCCCCCCCCCCCCCCCCCACACACACACACACACGCTTCCCTTTCATGCGAGAGATGAGGATGCGGGAGAAACGCGGCTAGTGAAGGTGTGCGAGTGGGTGGGGGAAGGTCAGGGCGGAGGGACGTGGGCGGGGAAGATGATGGGGAATGATGAGGATGGAGGAAGTGAGGGACGGATGGGGAAAGGGGGTTGATGAATGAAGGCGGGTAGGTTAAATAGAAGAATAAGGAGATGGCAGTCCTGGAGCTTGGACGGGTCAAGGTCATTTCGTCGGGACCTTTCCTTATCTGAGCTAACCACACGTCTCGGCCCCTCGTATCGTAATTAAGTCTCGGGGCAGCCTGTTTTTAGAGAGCGCGGCCAACTCAGGACATCCCCGTGGTCCTATGGTGGTTCTCGGTTCTTTGTCTGCTCTCCCACCCCATTAATTTACCACAATCATCTTTC